CCATCCCCCCCTCTCCCCCCCCCCCCCCCCCCCCTGCCAAGGTTGAAAACAAAAGGAAAGAGAAGGTGTTGACAAAGTTGATTGTTGGGTAGGGTGACAAAGGTGGCGCACTTTTGCGATGCGACAACCCGGATGGCAACTGCCGATTCGCCGACTGGAACGGTCATTGGAGGGGTAACAACGCTACTGCCGAAACGGTGATCTGCGATCTGTCGTATCAAACGCGTCGACCGCTCGAACAGGTGTGTGGGTTTGGATTCCAACTCGCGCGTGACAGTCCCTCGACGTACTTTGGTGCGGATCTGCTGCATCGCGCCTTCCACGTGCCGCAGTTTGTCAACGAAAAGATCCACCACTACGCAGACACCTACGCCGACTGCCTCGAACTTGCAAAGACGAACGCCTCCGCCGCTGTCACCAACCAGTACAGCCTCCAGTACTTTGCTGTCGACGTCTACTCGAGAAACATGGTCAAGAACGGCTGTGTAGGCAAGGTCGAAGACAAGCACGACCACAGTCACGCAACGACCAGTGCAGCGGCTCCCGCTCAGACCCAGGCACAGACTTCGTCCAGCGCAGCTCCAAGTGCAACGGCTCCCGCGGCGTCGGCTGATTGCCACACCCACGCTGACGGCTCGGTCCACTGCGGAACTCACTAAGCCGCACCCCCACTCATAACCCGCCAACAAAAGGCGCCAAAAATTTTGTCATGGTCGCCAACTCTGTATATACACGCCCCACAATACAGTCTATATGAAAGCAATCAAATGGGCTCGTCGCGCGGCTCGATGAGCATCTCGTTCATCGCCACGTGTGCCGGCTGGCGGAGCGCATAGACGATCGCGTTGGCCACATCGCTCGTGTCGAGGATCTTGGCGCCCGTCGGTTCGCCGTACTTTTTGATGGCCTCCTGGTCCGAGCTCATGCCCAGCAGCTCGGTCGCCGTGTTGCCCGGCTGCACCGACGTGACGCGCAGGCCCGTGCCCGCCGTCTCGAGCCGCAGCGACTGCAGCGTCGCCTCGACAAAGAACTTGGACGCGCTGTACACGCCCAGCCCCGGGAACACCTTGCGGCCGGCGTCGGACGAGATCGCCACAATGTGACCCGTGCTGCGCGGCAGCAGCCGAGGCAGAGAGGTCGAGAGCACGTTGAGCAGCCCCTTGCAGTTGACATCCACCGTCTGCTCCCACTCGCCCACCTGCACGTTGTGCATCATGGTAAAGTACATCACGCCTGCGCACGAGACGATAATGTCGATGGGGCCGAGCGCATCCGTGGTGGTCTGCATGAGCGACTCGACCTGCGCGCGGTCAACCACGTCGGTCTTGTGCACGTGCACCTTGGAGCGCACCGGCCCTCCGTGCGCGCTTGAGATCGCCGCCAGCTCCTTCTGCAGCTTCTCGAGCGCTTCGACTCGGCGGGCTGCGAGCGCGACGTGCGCACCTTCGCGTACGAGCGCCTTGGCCACCGCCGCGCCGATACCCGACGAGGCGCCCGTGATGACGGCCACCTTGCCGCGCAGCGGGAAGTTGGGGTCGAACGCCAGCGCGAGGCCGTTAGTGCCGTTGGCTTCGCCAGAGGGCGTGCTGGGCACGCTCGATGGCTGGCGCTGCATCCAGCCGCGGGCGTACCAGTGGCGGGCGTAGGTCTGGAGCAGCTTGGCATCCACCTTGGGACGGTGGAGGTCGCCGAGCGCCGCACGCGTGGCGTCGTCCTTGAGCGCAATGATGCCCAGCAGGAACTCTTCCGAGGGCATGCCGGAGCGCAGGATGTCGACGGTGAGGCCGTGGTCGCCACCCTTGGCCGAGCCACGCGTCTCGTTCCAGAGCGCCACCCACGACTTCCAGCTGGTGCGCTTGGTCGGGTAGCCGAGCGTGTCGAGGTGCTGGAAGAGGAGGCGACAGTCGATGGGCTCGCTGTCGCCGAGGTGGTAGATGGGCTGGTTGGCGTCGATGTGGTTGCCGATGGCGACGATGCCGCGGCTGACAAAGTCGACGGCGGTCATCTCGATGTGCCAGTTGGGGATCTCGGGCGCGACGCCGAGGTGGACCGACTCGACGATGAGCGCGGTGATGAGGTCGTACGTGTTGGTGGAGCCGGTCTCGGAGTGGCCGCTGAGCGTGCCGATGCGGATGACGTTGGCGGGCAGGCCGCGCTTGGCGGCTTCGAGCACAAGCTGCTCGGCCACCCACTTGGTCTGGCAGTAGCCGTCGAGCAGCTTCTCCGGGACTTGCTCGAGCGGCATGATCGTGGACTCGGGCCAGCCGGTCTGGGAGGGGGGCAGCACACCGTTGGTCGAGACGTACTGGACGGTGGCGTTGCTGAGGAAGGCGAGGCGCAGGATCTCGCGCGTGCCTTCGACGTTGGGGTCGCGCAGCGCCGCGTACGGGTAGACGAGGTTGACCTGTGCAGCGCAATGAACGACGACGTCGACACGCTCGACGAGGTCGTCGTAGACCTCGGGCACGAGGCCGAGACGGTTGCGCGAGAGGTTGGCGGGGAGGACGTCGATGCGGTCGAGCATGGCGTGGTCCCAGACGCCGAGGTCGAGCATGTTGCGACGCAGACGCGCCATGGCGGCGGAACGGTCGGTGCGGTAAGGAGCGTTGAAGCGGATGAGGCAGACGATGCGCGCCGAGGTGTTCTTGAAGAGGTCGTGCAGCAGGAATCCGCCGAGGAAGCCGGTGGCGCCGGTGAGCAGGATCGTCTTGGCCTGGCTGAGCGGGCACGCTGCCACGGGTTCGGGCGAGGCGAGCTTGAATTCGGGGGCGAGTTCGATGTCGGCGCGCAGCACCGTGGGCAGGTCGGCCTGGACGGCGGCGTTGTGGCCGTCTCGGGCGTTGAGGGTGACGCGGACGTGGCCGGCGAGCGTGGGATTGCCGGCGAGGTCGCCGAGGGGCACGGTGAAGCCTCCGAGCGTCTTGGAGATGCGGGTGGCGAGGTCTGCGAGCAAGAGCGAGTGACCGCCGAGGTCGAAGAAGCTGACGTTTTTGCCGGCCTCGAGGACGGTGTTGGGATTGGTGTTGAGCGAGAGCGCCCAGAGCTGTGCGATGGACTTGAGGTTGACCGTCTCGTCCGGGGCGGGGCTGCGGGCGCGCGAGTTGGTGCCGCTGGCGGCGGCGATGGCGGCGCGCGGGTTGGGGAGGTTCTTGAGGTCGACCTTGCCCGAGACCTCGTGGGTGGGGAGCGAGTGGAGCACGACCCAGAGCGTGGGGATCATGTAGTGGGCGAGATGCGAGACGAGCACCTGGCGTGCGCTGGGGCTGTGACCGTTGTCGTCGATGGTGAGCACGGTGCGGCCGGCGGTGTCGCCCTCGTCCGGCACGATGTAGGCTACGAGCTGACGTTCAAGACCTTCTCCGTGTGCGACGACGGCGCAGTTGCTGACGTCAAAGTTGTCGACGATGGCCTTTTCGACGGTGCCGGGCACGATCGAGTAGCCGCGGATCTTGATCATGCCACCGACGCGGCCGGTGATTTCGAGGAGGCCAGACTCGGGGATGATCCTGGCGAGATCGCCGGTCCTGTATTTGCGCGCGTTGGATTGGGAGGCAAAGGTGTCGGGGGTGAAGGCCTTTGCGGTGGTCTCGACGAGGTTGAGGTAGCCGCGTGCGAGGAGGCCGCCTCCGACAAAGAGCTCGCCGGGCTCTCCGGGCTGCACGGGATTCTGGTCCTCGTCGAGGATGTAGGTGTGTGCCGGGTCCATGGGCGGGCCGACGGGGCAATAGGGAGCGTCGTCGGGGAGGGTGGAGAACATCTGACGCAGATCGCCGCATGCGACCTCGTGGGTTTCGCTGGCGCTGTAGCAGTTGAGGATGCGCGCGTTGGGGAGAGCGCTGATGGCTCTGCGGGCGAGGTCGGTGGTGACGACCTCGCCGTTGAGCCAGAGGGAGCGGAGTGCAGGGAGCTTTGCGCCGAGGTTGTGGTGGCGTGCGAGGACGGCGGCGAGGAGGGTGGGTGTCATGAGGGTTTCGGTGATCTTTTGGTCTGCGAGAAGCTCGACGAGTTTGACGGGGTCGTAGGAGGTGTGGTCGGGGATGGCGTAGGTGGTGGCGCCGCGGAGGAGGGGACGAAGCATCTCCCAGACAAAGTAGACGTTGCAAGCCACGCGGTCGGCCGGTTGGAGGTCGTTGACGGCGAAGCGGAGGTCGTAGGAGCGAACGGGAGCATAGTGTGGGTTGGCGATGCCCTTGGGCTTTCCTGTAGTGCCGGACGAGTAGGAGACAAAGGCGAGACGGTCGAGGTCTGTGCTGTCGGGGAGGGGTGGGAGGGAGGAGGACGAGGCGGCGGAATGGTCGACGTGTTGTTGGAAGAGGGCAGCCGCGCTGTCTGGCGAGTCGATGTGGATGGTGGCGACCGACTTGGGGATGAGCTTTGCATGCTGCGTCTGGGTTACGACCACGGCGGGCTGGGCGTCCTTGATGACCTCGTGGAGGAGGCCGAGCGGATAGGCGAGTTCGAGGACGAGGAAGGCGCCTCCAGCGCGGAGGGCGGCGAGGCAGGCGATGACATAGTCTGCGCCCCTGCCCATGAGGATGCCGACGAGCGAGTCGCGGCCGACGGCATGCTGGGAGCGAAAGTAGAAGGCGAGGCTGTCGACCTTGGCGTCGAGCTGGGCGTATGTGTAGTTTGCCTCGGGGTCGACGAGGGCGATCGCGTGGGGCGTTGCCTTGACCTGGCGACGGAAGAGCGCGTCGAGGTCGAGTGTGGTGTCGAGGACGCCCATCTTGGTGCTCGAGGAGGTGTTATCGATGCGGTCTTGTGATGTCGACGACGATGGCCGGGTCGGAGGTGCGCCGAGGAAGGATCCGAACGCGATCAAATGAGTGTGACGGAGTGTGACGGAGTGTGACCGAATGTGACCGAATGTGATGGCAGACACGACGATGGTGACGAGGAGGAAGAATCGCCGGAGAAGCCGCCCACCAAAAGAGTGTTGGTTGCGCTTGTGGAGAGAGCGCCGGCACCACGATACGGACTGCTGCATGGAATCGATCCGAAGCTTCCGACCTGAGGAACCGCATTTCACACGCGCCCGCATTTCTTCTCGCCGCTGCTGCCACCGCCAGGGTCCTTCTCTTCTTCCCCAGCCGAAAGCGAGTTCAACAGAGATTTCCAATTGGCAGCCCGCCCGACCGCCTCGCCCACTCTCAACCCCACCTTCGATTCCGAGCTGCATCTCAATCACGGCCGACGTGGAAGCATCGCAGAGATCACATCCGCGCGTCTTGTCTTTCTTTCCTCGTGCGGTGACGGCTGATCCGACGACGATAAGCGACCTTCCCATCCGCCAACTATGCTCGAGACGTCACTCGGATGGCAACGGCAACGGCAACGGTGCAGCCGCTCGGCCAACAGCTCAGTCGTGGTTCTCGCTTCCAATCACGCCAACGCCGGATCTCGTTGAAAAGGGCAATGGGCAACGGGCAACGGGCAACAGACCCGCGCCAAGAGCCGAATCTACAAGGTTGACCTGCATCACGTCAAGGGCGCTGGAGCGCTGGAGCGAGCACGCCGTGCCAGTCGTCGTAGCGGCCCCCCGCCCCCGTCCCCACGTCCCTGCCAATTTCCGCCAAGTCACCGCTCCCATTCGGGCAGATGTTCGGATCTCGCCTCTCGGTCAGACCCGGAGCTCATCATACTTTGAGGCCTAACATTTCAAAAGTCAGAAATTTCGAGGGTTCGGGACTCGGCTCTTGCTCGAGGTGGAGGCAGCGGCGGAGGCTTTGCTGTGTGCATCCTTTGATGCTCGAGCCCAGCCATTGGCATGCATCAGCCACGATCATCCTTACTGAACGCCCACCATGGAGCAGCTACCGAGGTAGCATTCACGCGCAATGCCACCCAAGAAGCTCTCCATCGCTCGCATTCGTGCCGAGAGCACGCTGCGCAGCGACGACCCGGACCTCAACCGTCGACGTCCCTCGCCATCCAGCAGCAGCAGAGCCAGCCAGCGCTATCGTTCCGCAGCAGCATCCTCATCCTCATCATCACGGAGCAATGCACGCGCCAGCTCGGCCCGATACAAGCGCCCTGCGCAGCCCAAGGTCAGCGCGCGCATCCTCCAGATCCACGACGACGACATCCAAGAGACGCGTGTGCAGAACCGGTTTGCGCCCGATGCACGCACCCAGCGCCAAAACGTATCGTACCGTCCGCTCTCGCTCACAAAGCAGGCGCAGCGCGATGGCGCTGCATTTCAGCTGCCGACGCTCGCAAGCATGTGCTCCACCGTCATTGCCACCTGCTTCGACGCCCTCCTCCCCTCCCGCAGCAACTTTGACGCGGCTGCAGGCGCGACAACCCCACGCAGCGCCATCCGGAATGCGCATACCCAAACAAAGGCGGCGGCGGGACGCAAGCGATCGCGCGCAAGAGCGTTCGGTTCGGCTCCTGATTCGGACGAAGACCAGCAGGACTATGTTCCAAGCGACGCAGAAGATGGCGCTGCGAGGGCGGGGTCCAGATCGACCCGGAGCCGCGGTCGCTCTTCGAATGCGCAGACTGCAGCCGAGGGTGGAACGAGCCGGTTGCTGGCTGGTTGGACCACGTCCGAGCTGCACTATCTTACGCGGCGGACGTCCGAGCAGCTCAAGATGCTGTCGGCCGCAGCGTCGTTTCTGCTCTTCCGAGCGCTGGTGGAGCATGCGCCGCAGTACCTCACCAAGACGGTGGTCGCCGATTACTTTTTGCCACCGGTGCTCGAAGGATCGCAAGCGGGTGGGGAGGTGACGGCGGCTAGGACGCATGTGTGGCTGCCAGCGTCCATCCCGCTGCTCTCGCACGACAAGTATGCTGCAGCGTTCCTGGTCAATCACCTCACCAGTGCCTTGACATCCGCGAGCCAGAGTCGGCAAGCAGACAGTTGGACGCTGTCGCAGTCGGTAGTTGAGGAGACACCCTTGGCGATGCTACCACCGCGCAGGGGTTTGGTGCAGTCGGCTTCGTTTGCGCTGCGCTCGTTGCAGCTGCATGCACTCACACGGCTGCAGGACGCCACGCTCGCGCGGTTCTTTGAGGCTGCCATCACGTCGGACTCTCAAAGCACGCAGTCGGTACTGCGGCTCGAGACAGTATCGCTGAGGGGGTGTATTGCGATTGGCGATCGGACGGTTGGGGCAATGTGCCGCGCGACGGGTGCGACGCTGCGCTACCTCAATCTCGACTACACCGACGTTACCGCCGACTCGGTGAATGCCGTGATGCGCATGGCGCCCGATCTGCATACGCTCAAACTGGGCTACAACGACAACCTGTCCGACAAGACGCTGTCTAGCGCGCTGCAAGCACCAACGAGCGGAGAGATGCCGTTTGGCAAGCTGGTGAATCTGAGGCTGCGCCAGTGTGCGCAGGTGGGAGACGTGGGTGTGGCGTGCTTTCTCAAGTACGTCCACCGCACACTCGAGGTGCTCGATGTGTCGGGCACGGGTGTAGGCGGTGTGAATCCGCACAATCCCGACATGGGCATTTTGGTCATGGGCTTCTTTCCGACGGGTATGGAGGCCGAGGTGGGGTTGAGGAAGATCAATCTGCTCGATACCAATGTGGACTTTGACGCCGTGGGGCAGTTGTTGGAGAGGGCCGAGGGGATGGAGACGCTGCTGGTGAGGCAGATGCCCAGTCGCAGTACGCGCGATGGATTCATCCACATGCTCGAATCCATTGTGCGATCCCGACAAGAGGGTGGTTGGAATGCGGGGAGGTGGAAGAAGCTCCATGTGCGGGTGGTTGATGTGGCGGATGAATTCGCCCAAGTTTTTCCGGATCTTCTTGCCGTGTTCCCCGTAAGTTCTCCGGCTCCAGCCTTGATGACGAGAAGATCCGCTGACAAAGATGGGTGGGTAGAGGCTGGTGGTGGAGAATCTGCGCACGAGTTCGAGCCAGCTCAACTTTTTCCGCGAGGTCGCCGACCATGTCGATCCAGAACGGTGTGGTGTGCAGCATCTCAAGCTGCGCGATGCACGACTCTCGGATCATGCCTGGCGCTTTCTTACGCGCTTGAACTCGCTCAGAGAACTCGACCTCACAAACACGGCCGTCCCAGGTATGTCCCCATCTCACCGCACTCAAAGAGCAAGCAAACGTACTGATTGAGAGATGATAGAGGCGGTGGTCAAGCAAACCATCGAGGCGAACAGGTTCTTGGAAACGGTCGATCTGTCGCACTGCAAGCAGATGCGCATCTCGACACGGCGCAATGCGTTTGCCCTCCAAGACGCATAATCGCTTATACCCGGAATACAGCACAAGCAGAAAGGCGACGCACACGGCAGAAAAAGTGAAAGGAGATGACATTGAAAAAGGAAAGTGCGAAAAGCAAGCGAGTGAAGAAGAAAAAGAAGGGGGACGAGCCTTTGATGGCTGAACAAAAACACGAGAGAGAGAGAAAGATGGAACAAACCCAACGAACGATGGAGGGGGGAAGATTTAGACGAGGGGGGTGTGACCCGAGTGAACAGGGGTGCCATTGGTGAGGACGGCGTCGGTCTCGCCAGCCGCGCCAGCAACGATGCCATGGTTCTGGGTCTTTGCCTGTTGGAGCACCTTCTTCGCAAGCGCCTTGTCCTTGGCATACTGTGCGAAGCTGGCCCTAACCCTCGCAATGGCCTTGGGATCCTTGACCCCGGCCTGGTCGGTAACCTTCTTCAACTCGGCCGGGTTGGCAGCCAACTTGGCGCAGAGCTGCATGAACTCGTGCACCTCCTGCTCCGACACCACGGCGTGGAGGGAAGTCTGATGCGTTGCACCAGCCGGAAGCTTACCCGGGTAGAAGTTGGTGGTCTGGACCCTGTCGGGGATGCCGTCGCCAACGTTGTGAGCGGGCTTGTGCGTGTACATGGTGTAGTCGCGCTTGACCAGCTCGTCCTTGTTCTTGTCCGGAATACCGTCACCGTCATTGTGAGCATCCTTGCCCGTGAAGTAGGTGTAGTGACGCTTCTGCAACTTGCCACGCTCGCCAGCAGCCGCATCCGTCTGCGTCTGGAGCTTGTCGAAGAGGAGCTTGCGATCGTCCTGCGACAACTCGACACAGCCAGGATTGGGCTTGCCGTCAATCCAGTTGGCTGTCAGGTCGCAGTAGCCATCGGCATCGCAAATGTCGGTGGCGGAAGGAGAGCACTTGCCGGCAGACATGACGGTAGCAATGATCTCGCTCCACACCTCCACCATCGCCTCCTTCTCCTTGGCCGAGTAAGGGCGGCAGTTGGGGGAGGAGAGAGAACACGTGCCGTCCTTGCAGTCGGCGGAGGAGCCAGTGCAGAAACCGGTGGCGTGCGTGGCTTCAGCAACCGCGGTCTGCGCAGTGTTGAGAGACTCGCTGATGATCGAGTCGCGCACCTGCTCCGGTCCAACAGCAGCAGCAGCGCCGGTCTTGGAGTCCTGCTTGCCAGCATCCGAAGCTGGGGCGTCCTTGCTGCCACCATCGCGCTTGAAAAGACCACGCTTGCCGCCAGCGTCCGAACCGGCAGTACCGTTGCTGCCAGCATCCGAACCGGGGGGACCGTTGCTGCCAGCGTCGGAAGCGGAAGTACCATTGCTACCGCCATCGCGCTTGGAAAGACCACGCTTGCCGATGTTCGGGCCCAGATTGGCGGCAGAGGTCTGCTTGTCGGCCTCGTTCTGGAGCTCGTCCATGAGCTGCTCGCGCTCGTAGTCGCTGAGCGGCTGGCACGCAGTATTGGGCTTGCCATGCTGCCAGTGAGCAAGGCGGTCGCAGTGACCCGAACCATCGCAAACCACCTTGTTCTTGGGATCGCACTTGCCGGTGGACAGGACGCGGGCGATGAGCTGCGTGTAGTGGTCTGTGATCTGCGCCTCCTCCGCACGGTTGTACGGTCGGCAGCCATAAAGGCCAAGCTCGCAGGCGCCATCGGCACAGTGAATGTCGTCGGCCTGCTCGCAAGTGCCCTTGTGCTTGGAGATCTCGGCAAACTCGGCAGAGGCCATCTCGCGCGCAGAGACCAGGATGCCCTCGCGCGCCTGCTCGAGAGTCTCGTGCGCGCCGCCGCGCCTGAGCAGCGAACGCTTCTCGAAGCCCGTGCTTCGTAGTCTGGCCCGCTCCTCGACCGGCTCCTTACTCGCCGAGGTCTTGGTGAGCCGCTCAGCGCGAGAAGTGTCGTTGACGCCCAGCTGGCTCTCGAGCAGGGCTCGGCTCTCCTGGGCGTTCAGCGGAGGGCAGGCGGGGCTGGGCTTGTTGTCCTCGAACTCCAAATACCAGCTGCAGTAGCCATCGTCGTTGCACATATCGTCGCGCTTCGAAGCCTTTGCATCGCACTTGCCCGTGTACATCATAGCCGCGACGATCGGCTGGACAGCCTGGACCAACATGTCCTGATCGGGCCCGGTTAGAGCACGGCAGCCAGATGTGCCGATCTTGCAGCTGCAGCCGAGAGCATCTTTGCCGCAAGCACCCTCGCGCTTCGAAGTCTGCCTGACGATAGTGAGCGCAATCTGGCTGCCTGCGGCCTGGATGTCTTCGCCCAGCTTGGACACCTGCACGGCGTTGTTCTCACCCGACTTGACGGGCTTGACGTCCGCAATGATCTTGTCGCGCTGCGAGAGCATCGTGTCGAGACTGGCGAGCAGGTTCTTGGTCAGCTCAGGGCTAGGAGGTGATCCCTGAGCCTCGGCATCGACCTTCTGGGCGGAGTCGGCGGAGTCGCCGGCGATCGGACCAGGCTTCTGCGCAGCATCGGTCTTGTCGACGTAAGAGGCGAGCTTCCAGCTGGGGATGGCGACGTCGTTCTGGATCGACTGCAGAAGTACCATGCTCTCCTCGGCACCGATCTCCTTGCACGCAGGGTTGGGCTTGCCGTTCTTCCACCCGTCGAGGTAGCTGCAGTAGCCGAGCTCGTCGCAGATCTCCTTGTCCTTGGGATCGCACGCACCCATGACCATGACGGTGAGGTTGAGCTTGGTCATGTCCTCGATCATCTTTTCCTTCTCCGCCTTGGTGAGATGCTTGCATCCGGACTCGCCGATCCTGCAGACGCCATCGGGGCAGCCCGAGGTGCCTTTGTCGCACGTGCCGATGTACTGCAGCGTCTGGCGCACCGAGAACTCGGCGAGCTTGCGCGATTGCTTGCGGTACTCCTGGCCCAGCTCCTCGGGGTTGCTAGCAGGGGCAGCGTCAGCATTGTTGTTGTTGTTGTTGGAGAGCACATCGTAGAGGCTGTTGATGGAGCGCTTGGCGAGGGTGTCCGGCTTGACCTCGGGAGCAGACGTGGCGGTGCGGGGAGTGTCGTCGATCGTGTACTTCTGCGCGTTGAACGTGGCTGCGGGCTTGGTGAACTCGAACGAGCCGTCCTTCTGCTTCTCGAGCAGAGGGGCGATCTTGGCCATCTCGTCGCGATCGATCGGCTCGCAGTAGGGACTGGGCTTGCCACTGGTCTCATAGACGCTGCAGTAGCCGTACCTGTTGCAGAACGAACCGTTGAAGCGGGTGGGAGTGCACTTGCCCGTCGAGGCGAGCTTGAACATGAGGTTGCCCAGCTCCGTGGTGAGCTCCTTCTGCTCCTTGTGCGTGAAGGGCTTGCAGTCCGCAGAGCCCAGCTCGCAGGCGTCGCCATCGTCGCCATTGCGCGCGCCGTGCGTCTGCACGTAGCTCTCCATCTCCTTGGAGGCCGACTTGAAGATGAGCTTCTTCAGCTCTGCCTCGGACTTGACCGGCGCGTCGCTCGCAGTGTCAGCCTCGGCATCCGAGGCTGAATCTCCACGGCGTGCCAGATGAGGAGGGTGGCGGCCACCGTGATCGTTGGGGTCGTTGTGGTTCCTGGAAGTATTCGGACCACTACGACGCTCCAGAATTGACTTCTCTTGGTCGCCGCCATGAGGCTGGCGGCCAGGACCAGGGTCGCCGCCGGTGCCACGGTTGTCATCGTCGTTACGATGGGCCCAAGCACGACGCTCGAGAGCAGCGTGAGG